AGAAGATGTTTGCACCCACAGTGACTTTCAACTTCTTAATTCTTGTTTTGTACAGTTGAAGCTTACAACCTCTAATATTACTCTTAGTTCCACAACCCACGGTGTCCTCAGAAGGCATCTGTACCTTTGCCATCAATCAGCCTTAGTATGATAATTGAAGCCTACCTACCCCTTCAAGTGAGCTAAACCAACCCCTGAAGTAATTTGCATTTTTGACACCGACTGCCCAATTTTTCAGTCAAAGTCTCTTTTTTGTTTTCTTCTCTTTTGTACACGATAGTAAAATCACGTTCGCAGTAATGATCATTTTTGGAGACGGCGTAACCTGTGACATGTTAAACACTGTAATACGCTCTTCCAGATGTTTACTTAGCTTTTTTCATAATAAATATGCAGCTTGATTTAATAAAAAAGGGCGCCTTCAAAAGAGAAACGTTGGCAGCAGAACACATGATGATAGGCTTCTCGAGTTTGACTATCAGCTGGCAGAAGACACTGGCAAGCGAAATGACAAGTTTCTTTGTGAAAGTGACACGTTGGTTTCTTGGTGTTTCCTAGCAACAACCTAAAACCCAGTAGAATCATTACCTTGTTATAAACTTTATTTCTGTTACTGCTGTGAAATTGAATCTCAGTCTTTTTCTTGCTCTGAAAGGACTGAATAAGATTTACAAAATTGGGTTTTTCAGAAATCATGTATATAAAGTGATAGTTGAGGCTCGAATGAATGTGTGATCTTGGTGAAAGAGCGGTACAGAAAGAACAGAAAAGAGGGATTCAGGCTTGGTTTAAACATTTTCTGGGTCTCAAACTGAAATAAATCATTTTAAATGACGAGTCAAAAACAACTTGTTCATTTAAAAAGGAGCTGTCGATTTCACTTTTCACTTCTGTTTTTAAAATATGATGCCCTCTAGGTTTAATTTTCAAACTGTTTAGGAATTCTGCTCACGGCCAAATTTGCAGAAAATCTATGTTTTTATTTTGTTGTTCATCTTTAAAAAAAAAGAGAGTGTAGTATGAGCCATAACGGCTGGTTGACACCCTCTTCAAGACTGAAAAGTCTCAGTATAGTACAACCCAGGAGGCAGTGTGGCGCTGCGCTTCTCCCCAGGCACTCTCTCTGCTAACAGACTCTCAGTTTCTCATCCTTTCTCCTGTTTGTAACCCTTGGGAGTATGTTTGAATGCATGAAAAATGTTGTGTATCAGTGAAAATGCAGTGTGGCGAAGGTGGATACGCCAAGACTGTTTTTGTGTGGGCTGTGTTGATTTCAAAATATGAGTCTAGGTTATCTTTCGCCTCAGGTGTTATGCAAGTGTGTTGCATACCATTAAATAGGGATGGGAATCAAGAACCGGTTCCAAATGGTTCAATCTATCCACATCATTCACATTTTATCTTAATGATTCCTTTCTTCTTACGAAAAGTAGGCAGAAACTATCTTAAGCGTGGTTTCATTTTACTAAGAAGGACGACAACAGCGCGACACGCAACGTTTGTCGAGCGGTGATAACAGCCAAAGGTGGAAACACAAGAAACATACCTAAACATTTGTTAACGGGACACGGTGTCAAATATGAGGAGTCACATGTCTCCGTCGTCTCAGTACATATGTCCTGTGTTAACATACGCACAATGCATGCTAGACTTAACCCCAGATTATGTCTTTAACCCGTTTAGTTTCATGGAGAACATCACGTGGAACTTCAGCCGTTGCCTTGGGTAGGACATACTCAAGTATTGTTATAAATTGACTGATCTTAGGGTGACCATACGTCCTCTTTTACCATGGCCTTGACTTTATAAAATCCTTCAAATGTCAGGGGTTTTGTATGGAAGTTTTGAGTTTGTGTCGTGTGGACTTACTGCGTTAGAAGCGAGCCGACCTCGATTTACGATGCCCGACTCCGTGACTCTAGCCCCACGTAGTCGTGTCCTCTTTTTGAGGATTCAGAATATAGTCAACTTATATTTGACTTAATACTGACCGAAGTGAATGCTGTACACATAGTTTGTCATTTGATTATTTTTGGCAAACATCTATATCTGTTATCAGAGACTCAATAAAATTTATTTAACGGTGAAAATCTATAGTCTACATTTTTAAAATCGTTAAAGAATTGACTCGATAAGCAGAATCGACGATGGCATCGATGTCGATAAAATCTTATTAAGTCCCATCCCTACCACTAAAAGGTCAACATATATATAAAAAAGGATCATTGAATAAGTCTGGACTTATGACAGAGTTGCTTTAGAGCAGCTTCCCAAAACTGGATGTCGGAGTTAATCTGAGAGGAGCAGATGAGCGACGATGAGAAAACTCATCACATCAACTGGATTTGGAGATTGAGTCAGCATTGATGTGTTGGACCAATAAATGTTGGGTACTACTGGAGGGAGGATGAATCAATCGACCATCTGTCAGACACCCCGAGGTGCACCTTTGAGTCCTCGCTGCTCAATTATTCTGCACGACAGAGCGGTCAGAGTTCTGCCGCTCTGAGATGTCAGCGGAGGACATTCGTATGTCCTCTTGCCCTTCACGCAGTCGTCGCTGAATATGCAAACACTTGACGGGATCTCGTCTCCCTTTGGGGAGCTTTTGAGGATGGACTAATTTCATTGTGTTTAACATACACGCATCTCAGTCCCAGAGAGAATTGGATGCACTGTGAATAAACAGACAGAGGTACAGGTACATAAAAGATTAGCATATTGATTTTGCATATCATTTCATCTTTGCTCGCAGGTCCTCCGAACACCAAATAAAATCCAGTCGCAGAGCAGTTGTTGACAAGAGCGATAAATTCAGAGTTACAGATTCAGTAATACACATTCGGATAATCACGTTAGTGTTGGATTTCATCATTTCCAAGTCCCCTCTGTATTAATAAAGAGAGCTGAACCAAACATCGGAAACACCTCGTGATGCGATGCGGTTTGATTCTCTCCGTTAAGATCCTGCAGCACTCAGCAAAACAACGAAGCAGCGATGTGATAAACCTCAGGAATTCTCTCTGGTCGAGGTCTCTTTACTCAAACAGGACTGGAGCTGATCTGAAAATTGAATTGAACTCAACAGAGGTGGTCTTGCCCGGAGCCAAGAAACAAAACAGTCTCATTAAATTTCACAAAATAAGCACAAACACTGAACTTTGTATTCCTCCTGCGCAGCGAGATGCTCTGCCAATTGCAGCCAAAGAATACAGACATCAGACACGGGCAAAGAGAAGTTAAAACTTCTGAGTGAATATGTAAAAAGTTCTCCAGTCTCCACCTCTGCACATTAACTAGCCCCAGACGTCCTCTCAGACAGCTGACCTCTGGGTGTTTTCTTCAGGAAGTGAGTAAGAGAGCTCGGAAAGGCCATCCAGCTGTTGTCAAATGTCACCACAGCTCCCGTGTCTGAAGGCCAGAATCAGACATTTTCGCAGCTTTACAACCAGCCTTCATGTTCCCCTCGATCTAATTAGCACAAAATCATAAAAAGCACACATGCATAGACCCCGAACTCCTCCACCCCCGTCTCCATTACTGACTCATTTATTAATGATAAATGTACTTGATCTTAACTCTGACAGGATGATTAATAGAAGGAGGAATGTGAGTATGCTTTCTGCATGGACAATTTTAGAGGGTCTCCATTTTTCTGTCAAAATAAGCTCATGACAAATCTCCTTCATGTCACCTTTTCCTCGGTTTTAACAAACAAGCTGGTCCTCATTAGTTTTTCATATAGATCTGCTGTTTATCATCAACTTTGATCCGTTGCTGTGATTTAAAGGAACATTTCACTGTATTTGAAAGTGGGGTTGTATGAGGAAAAAAAGGATGCCTGTTATTGAACTCATTCAGTGCCTTTGATTTTGGATTTTGACGGATTTTTAGGTTTTTGTTTTCCTCCAGAGGGCGCTCCTCCTCAATATGCAACTAAGTTTGGGATCATTCTAAATGCAGAAAGTCGACAAATACTTCATAAACATGTTACTATAACAAAAACAAGTGTGCCAGTTAGTCTAGTTGTGGAGTGTTTTTTCTCTATGTGGAGTGTAGAAAGTGCCGAAATCATTAGGCAAGAGCAAACAGTCTTGGTGCGTCGGCTCCCGTGAGTGCAGTGGTACCATCTCTGGATCTGGTAGGGATCACAGTACCGGACCCTCACATTGTCAGCCAACAATCAAGGAAACAATTTTCCAGTGTGTCGTTGACGGATTTTTCAATTTTTTTTATTTTCCGCCAGAGGCCACTCCTCCCGAACATGCTACAAAGTTTGGGGTCGTTCTGAACGCAGAAAGATGACAAGTACGTCAAAACCATGTTACAATAACAAAAACAAGTACTTGCAAGTGAGAAGTGTGTCATCAAGTGTGCCAATTAGCCTAGCTATGGAGTGTTTTTTCTCTATGAGCAGAGAAGGAAAATGCCGGAGTCATTAGCCGAGAGCAAACAGTCTTGGCGCATCGGCTCCCGTGAGCGCAGTGCTACCATCTCTAGATCTAGTAGAGATCCTGGTAACGGACCTTCACATCGTCAGCAGACAATCAAACAAACAAATTTCTTGCGTGTCGCTGGTGCTGGTACTAGTGAGCAAGACTAAGCAGGAATCAGAGACATTCCTGGCGAGGAGGACGCGAGCAGTCTGTGTGGTCTACGTCCCAAGCCAATACGACTCCCAGCCGCCACTAAGTGATCTATCACGATCAGATCTCAAGAGTGATGAGGAGTGGTGTCCAATTAGGGAGGAGCTTGATGCCACCGGTAAAGTAGCTTGAAGTGAAATCAAATAGACGATCAGAGTTCTGCTTCTCCTTTGTAAAAATGTGTTTTTCCTAAGATTCTTTTTCCAGATCGGCAAAGATGATATGACCACGCCGCATTGAGCAGACAATAACTAAACACAGGGGTGGGTTTGAGACTAACTTTTTTTTCTGGTGAAAGAATAGAATTCTTTTGAGATATTGCGCTTAATTCTAGTTTCTATTGTCGTCAGTGGTGGCACTGGGTGAAAATTGCATAAATGAACCTGGCACTGAATGAGTTAAGACTCATTTGGTTCACGTTTGCCACCAGGAAGCTTGTTTTCTTTTTGCATTATTCACACACAGACCTATTTATCCACATGTAGAAACCTCCTACCAGAGTCGAGTGATTTTCCTTTAACATAAAAAATTTGCATTTACAAAGATTTCTTTTTCTTAAAGGGATTTTCTCCTTTATTTTTAGGAGACGCATTCTCTTACATAAAAGCTTTTCTGCAAGTGAGTGGAGCTGCATCACATTTAACCTTAAGGGTCCCCGAGGACACATTCTTTGAAACCTTTATTCGATCCCCCACATCAGCTTCTCGAGCGCATCTGCATGTGATTTTCACTTTCATATTCAAACCTTGTCGAGCTGAAGAAACACGGGGCCGTTCGCACCCAGCAGCCTCTGTTTTCTCCTCTATTTCTGTGTAGCTGTCAGATGTGCATGCTGTTTGGCTATGAGCCATACATTGTTTGTCCTTGAATGTGCATTTCCTGACGCTAATTATCTGTAACTTAAAAAGAAACAGCGGTGTAAGTTAATTTTCCTCTGAAGGGGAGCGGCAGCATCAGGCGGCGCGGCTTCGTGCATGCATAACGTTGTGCATGTGATGCTCTAAAAAAAAAAAAACACTAAAGGGCAAAGTTAATATTTTAAAGAAGCAGCATGCATCTTGTTTTTAAGCATTAAAAATTCAAAGGGAACAAAAAAGGGACAAAATGACTTCAGAGATTAGGACTAAGTTATCTGGCTCTCATCCTGACGCATTAGGATCCATTATAAACAGATTCACTGGAGTTATGTAAAAGTGAAGCTGTGTTGTGATTGGAAACTAGAGTTAGCCGTATATTCATGCTGTGTGTGAATACGCTTAGAGTCAGAGGAAATTCGACATCCTACAATCTCAAGATCCTTCCTACCCTCCAATGTCCAAGTATCCTTGGGCAAAATACTGGACTGTAAATGTCCTCTGAAGGCGTCGCCCGGGGCTCATATGCATGAGTGTGAAAGAGTGAATATTAAGTGAACTGAGTGGAAAGAAGTCTGGAGATAATCATGCACATATTCATCAACTCAGATAACTTCATTTTTGTCTCTTTATTATGAGCCCACTGGGTTTCAAACATGATGGTATCCTCAGATATCCAGACTCTTGGCCTCTAAGCCAGACGTTTACTGACATTATGATCATAACCATAGACTGTATAGAAGTGAACAGCACCCTCTGGTGACCGGCAGCAGTGTAGGTCATAAATCCTAGCAATCTTTGTGGAGTTAGGGGGTTCACATTTTCTATGAGTGACACTTGATACAGCCTAAAGTTCACGTAGCTCACCCGGGGGATACAATGTTTGAGCCGAGTGTGCATACGTAATGCATACGTTACTGTCCAAGTGGTGGTTCCAGGAAGTGGAGAAAATTCCAGAAATATCGAGAGCAATTAGGCTTCAAATTCATGTAACAGCAGAGGGCGGAGCCAAGTTGTTCATAGTATATACAGTCTATGATCGTAACTCGACTATAGCACTCTTGTGCACGAACTCTTTAGTCTGCATTGCATTGATTATTTGATGCATTGGGATGGGATCATTTGAGGATAAACAAATGATAAAAAATCTATTATTTCCAATGGTTTTTCCAATTTTTACTGTATGTTCAATTAGATTAAACCTAAGGAAGCTAATAGTTAGAGCACTTAATGTAATAAGAGAAGCTATTTGTTGTGAACAAAGTGTTGGATCGTGTGGTCTAATGATAATAAAAAAAAATTTAAAAAGAACATCACGGGGAGTTTGCAGATGGCCGAGCAGGTTAGCGCCCAATCTATCCCATTAATAAAAGGCAAAAATAAGCAAAATAAAAAATAAAAAAAATTAATAAATAACCTAAAAATTCAAAAAGAAACATAATGGAGGTAAATGTGTTTATATTGTTTGAAACATGCTGACAAATGCACCTTGTTTAAATTTAAAAAAAGGAAAATCAATTGGGGAAAAGATGCATTGATTATTGATGATCGCTTAATAATCGAATCAAGTCGTGAAGAGCTGAATGTGGCGCACCCCTACTCTGTCATGACATGTTCTGTTTAGTTATCTCCTGGTTTTATTTGAGTGCATTTTGTGTATTTTTACTTGTGTTCCTGTTCCCCTGTAGTCCAGTCTTACAAGTTTTCAGTTTTTCTTTGACCCCGTTTCCCTCCTGTTCTCTGTGTTTTATTCTTTAGATCAGTTTTTAGTGTTTATTTCCTGTTTTATTTTGTAGGAGTTGATTCCTTGTGTTTCTAGTTCCCTAGTTTTCCCTCCTTCGTTAGTCACTCATGAGTCTCACCTGTGTCTCGTTAGCCTCACCTGTTGCTTGTTGTTTCCCGTGTGTGTATAGTCCCCGTCATCCCCTCTGTCTTTGTTGGTTCATTGTGTGTGGTTTTTCCCCCAGTGTATTTTGTTGAATTTTTTCTCCTTGTGTTTTTTGAAGTCAGTTTTTGTTGTGTTTCATTTAGTTCTTTTTAATAAATCATTTATTTCGTCTGCATTTTTGGGTCCTTTTCCTCCTGTTTAACCCTGAACTATGACATAGTGGAATCTCGAGTTTATTGTGAATATCAGTTTAGTAGACTGATTATTTTAGAGGTTCCTGAGTTATGACTATAAACCTTACTTAACACTGATTCAGACCTCATCGCCATGGATACTTATGAAAAATATCCTGTCTCCTCAGCCAAAGTGGTCTGTATTGAATTGTTTATTTTTAAGGGTGAAAGGGGGATAAAAAAACGATGATAGCATTTCTCTGAGTATTTGTTGGCTGTAATTTCGATATATTTCTTTTAACAGAGAACACTGAAAAAATAACTACAGCACATTGGGAGCTGAGCGGAAAAAAAAGGTTTCGAGGTTTGGAGAAATTGTAGGGAGTAGTGTAAACATTACACACAGGAGAGGAGAAAACGAGAAAACAACACACGCAGAAACAGCGAGGCTTCGAGCTCCGACTACACAGGCAGAGGGGCCTCTGGGTGCTGATGTAGCTCATTAATATCTAACGGGACGGGGAGTTTAGCAGATCTGAACTGGTTTTACTCACTGGGTAGTTCACTCTTCTTTTGAAAGCATTTAGAAACGAAACAGAGAATGATGGCGTGTTTTTTCAGACGCTGAGTGTTTAAGGAAAATGTTTACACATGCCAAAATCCACCCTGGCAAGACCACAAGGCAGGACAACACATGTGTGGTCTCCATCCAGACAGGTCTATCAACCTTGAAGAGAGCCACACTTTACTGACCTGTGCTGTGCGGACGGCAGAGCGTGAGGTTTTTGGCAAAAAATTTTAATCAAATGTTTGGCTCTGAAAATAATTAAAAGCTCAACCAGCAACAAGAATCAGCCCAGTGAATCTTGACACGGGTTTTAAAGATCATCACCCTGAGCTGACCATCCACAAACCAGACAGTCAACATCAAGCCAGAGTCTGCGGTGCAGCGTTTTAAGGCCTGGGGTGGAAATGTCAACATGTAAAGAGCCGCGGTTAAGCTGGGTTTGAGAAAACAATGACTAGAACTAGGGCTGGGCGATACGGCCTCAAATCAATATCACTGAAGCGACTGCTTTCCTTCAACGAAAAAGGCCACTTGGGTTTAGGTTCGCTTGCATCTGTGATCATATATCATACCACGCAAGCGAGCGGGGAGGAGCAAGTGTAAAGTTTTTACAGCATTTCATCCCGATGACACCATGGATGAGGAGATGCTGATTCTAGAAGTCTAGAAGTAGATTTCCTCCTCTGGAAGGACACAATCTACTGCTTATATGGTTAGCCTATGTCGCTAAAGACAACTCGTTATTGTGCGATTGTACGTGAATCTGCAGATTCCTGCTGTCTGTAATCCACCTCGAAAATTCGCCTCACAAACGGATCTGGTAGGAACTGCGAAAATTGCTGCTGTTCCGAATGCGGTGGAAATCCTAGGTTAAAGGGACATGAGACCATAGCCTACCTACACACATCAAAAAATAACTTTTATTTATTTTATTTTTTTGACACCGAATATATCGATATGGGCAAAATGACGTTTGTTATTGTTGTAAATTTCAGTATCTGTGAATTTTCAGTTTATCGCCCAGCCCTACCTCGAACTGAGGCTGCAAAGACTGGCTGAAAGACCCAAGTGCGTGAGTCAGCTGCACCCTGGATGAGTTAAAATGGTTCCAGCATTAACCTTTTGCTTTTCACGGCTTGGGTTAGTTTGACAGTTAGTATTAGCTCACAGCAGCAACTAAAACAGCATCCATGCAACCCAAGAGAAATCAAGTCAGGTCAATAACGCGAAGAACCTCCAGAAAAGTCTGTCAGACCATTATAAACATTTGCTGCAAGACTGGTGATAAACCTGTGCTACGATGTTAGCATTAGGAAACAGCAGCACAGGCCGACCCGAATGTTTCACACTTTCTAGCCACAAATTGGCAACCTCTGTGGTTGTCATGACAACCTAAGTCCATGACCTTAGGGAGTGATGGCTTAAACGACATATTTAGCTCCTCCAAGTCCAGCCGAGCAGACAGCAATTCCTCGAGAATCTGACAGAAATGTTTCTCAAACTGAGTTTAACTCAGAGCGAGTTTACTATCAAGGTTAGAGTTGGATCCAATTAAGAAGAGATGCCCACCCACAGTTTTGATTCACACGCTCTGGATCGTCTGACAGGGAGCTAGTAGAGATGTCAAAACAAAGTGGAACTTAACTGGACGATCAAGACCTCTGGTCAAGTTGGACAAGCAGAGGACTTCCTGCAAGTGATTAAGAGTGATAAATAACTGCTCACTATATGCACAACCAATAGTTTTTAAACCCTGGTCGTAATCAATGCTGTAATTATTTGTCACTTATTATTATCACTTAAGTCATGTGAGACTTTGTGCGTTAAATAAAGAATCTACTATCCGCAAACTGTCTGCCAAGACTCTCTTCACGACCACAAAAAGTAGAGCACAAGAGACGACAGCGAGGTGTCACAAGTGAAGAATATAATACCATCCTGCAAAACCTGGAGACTCAAGATAAAGGGGGAGAGGGTGACAGAAAAAGAGGACCAGAAACAGGGAAAGAGAGACAGCCTAACCGGTGCCAGGAAAAAGGGGGGAAAAAGAGAGAGAGGGGGGAAAAGAAAGCCTCTGTAAATCAGAGGCTGGAGTGTAGTTTTCAGAGGTGTATCACCTCCAGGGTCAGAGGCAGACGCAGACAAGCGGGTGTTATGTGAGCTTTGGATTCACCTTTTACACAGACCTCAGCATCGCTCCCAGTGGAGCCTGGCTGCACCTCAGACCTCAGACCTTAGATGGAGAGAGAGCTGACAGAGCATCACTCTGCCTAATTTAAAAGGTGCAGGGGGAAGGATTTAGACACATCTAACAGATCAGACTTTGTAAAAATAGAATAGGATTTTGGTAACCTGGATTTAGCTCGCTTTCATAACTCTATATACACACCGTCATGTTTCTGTATGTTGTGAATAGCCATGTTTATCTACAGGAGTGCCTCAAGGGTCAATGCTTGG